TATAGTCGCCCCATCACAGAAGGCCACTGGTCAGCCAGGACTTGCCCCTGGTGAAGCCGTGCTGGTTGTCTCAAATCACCTCCCTGTCCTCCATGTGCCTTAGCACATGGGTAGAGCTACAAACTGCAGGAACAGGACTTGTTATTTCTGCTCTGTAATCAGAAATGAGCTGTTGTCTTGATGCTTCATCACATGTGCAAAGCTAGGAGACACATTAACTTGGAAAGCAAGGGGAAACCATTTTTCCCCTGGCCAGTTCATATTTACAGATGGAGAAGTAACTGAGTGTTGTGTTCTCCCCGCCACAACCCCAGGACTACAACACTGGGCCAATTGTATGAGATGCACGGAACAGACACGGGACCTCTTGAACGAATTTAAAGTTTCTACTATGAAAAAAGAGCTGGTGATTTACAGCAGGGCACCCAAAGCAACACAGGAGTCTACTGAAGAGGAAAAAAGGTATCAGCCAGCATTCAGAAACCAACCCCTGCGTACCTTGGAAATGCCATCTGGGCATTCAGTAAGTTAAACACAAACACATCAGGCCTAGAAAAAGAAAAAAATCCACAAACCGAATTCCAGGCACTAATAAGCTTTACAGTCGGGAAAAGAATTATATCCTGAACACACATACATAACTAATGGAACAAAAGAAGCTGCAAAACGATAACTGAAACTGCTTTTTAGACTTTATCTACTTTATTCTTTGTAATTTCCTGAAATAGTAAGGAGGAAAAAAAACCCCACAGGTCTCTTATGTTCAGTGTTTTTGTTTGCAATAAGCTTGTCTCCTACCAAAGTCTCAAAGTTTCTCCAAGAAGCTCGAACAGAAGATGCAGATTACAGACAGTATCTTCTTCTGAGACTTCATGGCATCAGTGTTTGGTAATTCAGATGCCTATCAGGACACAGCCTAAAAATCTGCACCTCTCCTGAGTTTCCCTGTTCATTCATTTGAATTGGAAAACACCGAGAAGCCCATGCATTCAAGGTCTAAGAGATTTTTGCAAAGAGGAATCCTGTCTCAGCAAAGCGCAAGTGATTGCATACAGGTCCCATAATTCTAAATCTACCAGAAAAAGGATGCACTTTTAAGAAACTCAAATATTTGATTTACAGCTGCTCAATTGTGAGCACCAGGATCCAGTGGAGAAAAACAAAGATATTTCATATGCAGAATCATACCCTAGGATAGTTTTCAAGGATAAAAAGTTACCCAGCATTACTAAACAAATCATAATCTTCATTAAAAATGTGCAATTGATGGAGAGCTCCATATTCTCGTCAGTCTTTATAGTGACTAGCACTGCCAAGTGACTAAACCCAATCCTTCTCCTTTATGACTGGAGTATATTTTTGTTTTGTTATTAAGAATAGTGAATCCTTCTGGCACTGCACAGCCAAGGGCAATTTATAAATTACATGCTAAAAGCTCTCAGTGCCACAGTCAAGCTCTGATTAAAATAACTGCTACAGCTTATATTTTTCTGTTGCATTAACTTTAATTAAGTGCAACTCCAATGCAGCAAACCCCACTGAAGTCAACCATGGTGTTTTAGATTTACTCCCAACTTCAGCACATGACAATTAAGGAAAGGAATTTTTTCTTTATTATGTCGCTCACTCAGGAGATGAGAGAGAGGAATCTTGTCATTAGAGTGAGGAGTTTAACGCTCTACTTGCTCAAATGTGGACCCAAAGCAAACAAAGTACAGCTATTACAGTGCTTGTAACTCACACACCATATTTCACAAAGCTGCAGTGACTTCTTTTGAAATCACCGTGTTTTGCTCAACGACAGACGAGGTCCGTCTCAACGTTACATCTGGCTGCGGAAGCACACACTTGGTTGCAGCAGGTGCAGAGGGAACAACAACACTGCTGAATCCCTCTCCAGTTCCACGATTGTTTGGTCCCAAACAATTTTCTGCAAGGTTGCATTAACAACCCACTTGTCCATTTATCTTCGCCGCAGCTGCGCTGGAGCTGCAAAAGTTACAGAACGCAGAAAAATCACTGCAGCTCCATAAAACAGGCAGTCATCTTGCTAGAGTAAGCAAGATTTTTGGGAGCTTGTGTTTCAGCAGGAGTTTGTCTCCTGTAAGCTGCTCCACGACCAGTGCTGGCTGCTGACTGGCTGAGGAGATGAATGCATGTGGAAAAAGTAGGCAGAGAGGTTCTATTTCGGGCTCATTGCTGCTAAAAGGTTGCTTTGTTTTTACAGTTAGGCCTTACTTCTTAAGAGCTACTGCATGAGAGCCTCCTGCTGTGTAACTACAAACATCTGAAATGGAAAAAAACCAACCAATTGTCCCTTGCTGGTCAGAGCACTGAGTGTGGCTCCGGCACAAAAAAGGGATCTGGAGGCAAAGAAGCAACTGCAGCGATGGATACACTTTGAGGTTTAAGAGCTGCTTGATCTGTGCATTCCTTGCAAAGCCTGGTTCATTTCTGTAGCACTAAACAACCTGCAAAGGACCAATTTGGGATTTTGCAGTAATTCAACTGGAACTTCACACATGAATTTGCTTGGGCTACCAACTGCGGTGGGGAGAATATCATCTAATGAGTATTATCTCCTCCACTTTTTAATCCCACAGGACACCGTTTTAATATTCCCCTAAAATGTTTCAAAGCATCACTTCAGGAGCCTGAGGAGTTTTTAGTTCTTGTAGAAGTATATATAGATAGATAAAGAAGAAAAGCTATTTGAACACTGCAGTTTTATAGGGAAGAATCACCAAGTCAACAAACAAAAGATAAGCCTGAAAATCTGAAATTCTTTTTTTTATGTTTAGAACATTTCTGGCTACTCTTTCAAACATCTGGAGTTTAAGCACAGTTTTATAACAACTTTTAAAAGTCATCAGCACAGAACTGTGTGTAAAATCAAACCGTGTAAGACTGAGCATAAATGAAAAAAAGGACTCTTAGCAGCCAGTTCTGCCAGGCACTGACAGCCATCATTTAGAAACGCTAATGCCCATTCATTAACTTCCCACCTGCAGGACTAGAGAAAAGATCCAACCCCAGTGCTGCTCTCCATCCTGCAAAGGGACGTAAATCACTCTGGAAAGATCAGACAGATGCTGTGTGCAGTGCCTGCCACACTTCCCGGACAAGAACAGCTCATCCCTGAGCTCCCCCTGCCTTTACTCAAACTTAATTTTACACGATTCTGACTCTGCTTCGAACTACTTCCTAAAGTTTTCCGTGGCAGTTCACACATTTGGACTTCAGTAAGCACCATCTGGGGAGGTGGAGTAACTCTCAGAGGGAAAAGGAAACCGCGGGAGGTGGCACTCACCGTGTTGCATTTCGTCCCGCACACCACTTGCCGGTGGTTCAGCCACTGGGAGGCAAACACTTTATTGAGGGTTCCGAGGTGGAATTCTCTCTCCTTCAGGAGGCTGGGGAGCTGCTGGGCTGCGTATCCGTGCAACAGGCGGTGGTAGCTGGACTCATTCTGCATCCGGAGCTCCCTCCCTTTCAGATAGTACACCAGGGACCTCTTCACTGGGGGGAGCCTTTTCCTTTTGTGCACCGAGTGATCCCACACATACTGTGAAAAATAAAGATGGAAATCGGATAAAGCAACTGGAACAAACTTTAGGCACCACCCTCCAAAATTCAACGATATTCCCGGCGGAAAACCTGCAGCCTTCCAAACCACCCACGGAACACCGTGCGTGGAGATGAGCCCCGAAACGCTGACAGGGCCTTTAGCAGCGTGGAATTAAACATATAAATATTTGCTAAAGGAGCAGTAACGCTGCGATGACATTAACGACAGCCCGCGGCCGTTCGGCACCGTTGGGGTGACGTTTGCTCGTGGAAACGGGAAGGGCGCTCGGACCGGGGCAGGTTTAGAAACCGGAGGTCGGCAGGTTTGGGGGTTACATCCCGGGGATGACACCAACCGCGGGGCCCAGCGGCCTCCTCCGGCCGGGCCAGAGCTGCCCCGGCACCATCGCTCCGCCGGGCCGGGGCCGGGGCATCGCGAACGGCCGAGCCCAACGGGGCTCCGCGAGCCCGGCGGGGAGGGGGTTACACCAGGACCGGGTCTGTCCTGCCTGAGTTAAACCAGGGCCCGGAGCTGCTCCTCCCCCGGTGACAGTGGGACCTGGGGTTGCCCCTCCCCCGGATCCCCCCGGTGACAGGGGGGTCCGGGACTGCCCCTCTCGGGTGACACCGGAGGCCCCGCAGGTGTCACTGGGACCTGAGGATGCCCCTCCCCGAGACCCCTGCCCACCCCGGACACCTCCGCAAGTGACACCGGGACCGGGGTCTGCCCCTCTCCAGCACCCCCTCCCCCCTCCCGGCACCCTCCCCGAATGACACCCGCCCCCCGGCACCAGGACACCACTGCCCACGGCCAGGGTCATCCCTCCCTCCTTCCCTCCCCACCTCCCTCCCTTTCTCCTTCTCTCACTCTCTCTTTCCCTTCCCCGCCGGGAACCGGGGCTTATCCCCCTTCACACCGCCGGGAACAAGCGCTTCTCTCCCTCCTCCGCTTACCTGCTCCCCCTGGAGCCCCCCAGGCCCCGCGGCGGCGGCTGCCGCCGCTTTCCGCTTCCTGCTAACTGTTTTCCGGGCCATAGTAGAAGGATGAGGCTGCGGCAGCGGCTGCGGGCGAGGAGCGGCCCCACATGGAGCGGTTCGGGGCGGTTCGGGGCATATGGAGCGGGACCGGCCCGGGCTCTGTCCCTCAGGCCCCGCCGGCCGCGCCTCACGGCATTTTACGGCACCCCGAGTTTTTTCGACTCTTCTTTTTACGACAGTCTCGATGCAGCTTTGCGGCGGCGGCCCCGCCACGCCCGCAGCACCGTTGCCCGGCAATCCGGCGGCAGGGCTAACCACGCCCCCTCGCCGTTGCCATGGCAGCGCGGCCATCCCGCTGTGGGGTGGCGCCCCCTGGCGGCGGGGCGGGCTCAGTGCAAGGCGGGGGTTTGGCATTCCCTCAGGGAAAGGGGGGGATTTTCCCCAAAACCCCAGGAAAGCGTCCCATAACGGGAACAGGGTCACAGAATCACAGAATTAATTAGGCTGTAAAAGACCTTTGAGATCATTGAGTCCAACCTCTGACTGATCCACCACCACGGCAACTAGATCATGGCATCAAGTGCCATGTCCAGTTTTTCCTTAAACACCTCCAGGGACAGTGGCTCCACCACCTCCCTGGCCAGCCCATTCCAGTATCTAATCAGCCTTTCTGTGAAGAAATTCCTCCTCATGTCCAACCCTCCACTGAACCATCCACTGGATCGGAGGGCAGTTCGACTGACTTGTTCAGGGTCACACACAAACACAAAGACCTGATCGAGGGTCTCCACATCTTTAACTGGTCTGCCAGCACCCCAGGGAAGATCCAGGCACACACACATGCCAACAACATAAGAGAGACCCTCTCCCAGGCCTCCACAGCCAAGTGTGTCACTCCCTCCACTCCACTGCCAGTACTCTTGGATGACTCACACCAACAGTTTATGCAATAATGTTCTTTATTAATATAATAGAAAATTGGGACAGGTTAAAGTTCAAAGATTGCTGGTGATAGTATCTGTCTGGAAAAACATATCCAAAGCATTCTATAGAGAAGCTCTGATAATTAAAAAAGGCTGGCTTGAGATAATCAATCACCCCACATAGAGTCTGTTCCTTACCCAACAGGCCCCATGGGGGAGAAGACAGGTTCAGCCTGTCAGTTGATTCCAGAAGTTAGGATGGAGTCTTCCCTAACTTTTCCCCATTTTTAACTTGATTTCATGCTATTTTTGCATTCAGGTGGAGCCTGACTAACTCCAGTCACACATCATGTGCAGTGGGGGGTGGTCGTACCTTGGAGGTGGGTAACGTCTGTTACACCTCAGTAACCTTTGGGATGGAGGTGGGTGCCAGTATCGCATTTGTGATCAATTGCTGGTTCAGCAGCAAGACATCTTCTGTTTTTCTCCCTTGATTGACAGCTGCTGTGTGGCTTTTCAGCTACAAAGTACCATCGAGTGTCTCCACTCCACTCCACTCTCCATTTAGTCCCCTTCAGCATGGATTGTGTGTGGGAAGCTGAGCATGCTGACCGCATTCCATCCAGGGAGCAGCACCTGCACTTCACCCTATCATTTCCGTACTGTCACAATTTCTGTTAAAATGTTAATATAACTTCCCAGTTTTCTCTAATTTTACACACAGTCATTTTCCCACACCATTCCATCTGAGAAATCCCTTATTTCTGGGGAATTAAAGGGATACAGAGTATTCGCTTTTCATTACACCCCCATGTGGATGGATGAGTGATTTTTCTGATGTTCACACAGCTCATACGAACTTTTTTCTATGATTATAGAGCCAAAACTGTGGGTCATCCAAAGCCAGCGACTGCCACTTGCCAGTAGCATTGCAGAGAAGAGAAACAGGATGAGGAGAAAGAAGAAAAACATTTTAGGTCTAGGCAGGCTGGAAAAAAATGGCAGTTCCTGACCACCTGAAACCTAATGATGCCTCAAGTCACAGGAATCAGTAAACATTTTCCTGATATGACACCGGTTTTATGACTTTTTTTGTGTTTTCCTCTAACCAGCCCCAAAGACAAGGGTGCTGTCAGAGGCCAAAGCGAAAAAGAAACTATAAAAGAACCTCTCAGGCTTCCCAGCTTCCCCTGAGGATAGAAAGGATAATTTCAGTTTGGCAGTTTTCAGTCTTGATTTCTCACAATTAACTCCCTTCTCCATATCCTTCCTCACATGCACAACTGCTACCCGTATTTGGGACAAACCTCCTCCATTTCGGAAGAAGGACCAGTCAAAAGGCTGAAAACCCATTGGCTGTGTCCCCTCAGCCCCTTAGGGGAAGGGACAAGGGAGGTGGTGGGGGTGCCGTGGATGCTGATGAAAGGGGCTGAGAGGTGAAATGGCTTCCTTGGGCCCTGCTCCCCACCTTCATCCAGCCCTTTAGGGACTCTCTCATGGAGCCCATCTGGGAGAGGGGCAGGAGGTGTCGCAGGAGTCGCCGGGTAGGGTAGGAGATGGGGACAGGCCCGCGGCTGGCACAGGGACAGAGACAGGGAATGCGATAGGGACAGGGACAAGGGCAGGGACAGGGAATGACACAGGGAATGTGACACGACAAGGAATGGGACAGGGACACTCCCTGACCCCGCCCCGCCCCCCGCGGAAAGGGGCGTGGCTCACATTTCTCCCCGCCCCACTCCCCGCCGGGTGACGTCACCGCCGGCCGCTCCCGATTGGCCCGGTGGGGCGCGTGACGTCACGGCGTGACGCCATCCCGCCGGCGGGGCCCAGACAAGATGGCGTCGCCCGAGTCCGGCGGCGCCGAGCCGGGCCCGTAGGGACGGACGGGCGGGGACCGCGGGACAGCGGCGGCACAGCGGGGCCGGCGGCCGCAGGTACCGGGCGGGGACAGGGGGGCCGGGGACCGGAGGTGCCAGGCGGGGACAGCGGGGCCGGGGGCCGCAGGTACCGGGCGGGTACAGCGGGGCCGGGGGCCGCAGATGCCGGGCGGGACAGCGGGGAGGGGCAGGCGGTGCTGGCGGTACCGGTCCCCTCGCAGTTGAGCCTGGACGTGGGGACTGGAGCCAGACCGCGCTCCTTCTCCTCCTCCTCCGGGATCGGGGACCGTCCGCCCCCGCCCGGCTCAGCGGGACAGGGGCAGGTCGGGCCCGGGGGTGACGCTCCTGCTTTCCAGCAGTTTCCGGGATTGTCGGAGTCCGGGGAATGTCTTTCTGCTTAATTACCGCTGATGAGTTCACCCTTGCTGAGTTTGCCCGGCTGCTGCTGAAATCGGAGTAAGCGTTTGGTGTCCGTGGCGTTGGGAGGTGCCCCCTCGCAGTAACTTAAACCCGTCAAGAGCAAAAACATCCAATTTTTGTTTGGGGGTGTGGTGCTTGTCGAGGCTGCCTGCAGGTAACTTGTTAGTTTCTGTCGCTTGAGCACTGTGGGTTTTCACAGCACATCTTCCCTGTACTGCTTGTGACTTCAGACTTCTTCTAAACCAATGCTAAATCACAGAGCGATCACTCTTTGGTTGCATCTCCTTGTAGGATGAGGAGCCAGTTGTCTTCACTTCACGGTTCGTAGCCCTACACTTCCTTCTCTATGCTCATCACCTATTTCTGGGTCTTTTCTTCTGTTCTGCTTTTAAATGTCTCTCTGCATTTGAGATGCAGACATCCCATGGCTATATGTGTTGGTGTAAGAATACTTCAGTTTTGTAGTTTTTGACTTCCTGGTAGCGCTTTGTGTTCTGTTTAGCTCAGTGCTTACCAGAAATAAAACATTTAACACTCTTATGAAGCTGTTCTGTGTAATTCAAAGGCTGTGTCTCTGTGTTTTGATAGCTCAAAATTTATCCTTTTTAAAGGCAAAGTTAGCTTTCTTTGGGGTTTTCTTTAATTAGTAAAAGAATTCATCATGGCTAGGCTTCGCGAACGAAGATTTGGGCTCTACCCACGTTTGTTGCAAGAGTAAAAGAATTACAGTAGTTGGAAATGAGTAATCACCTTCTCAACTGTTTTTACTCTTCACATCATCAAAAATTCCAAACAAGTGAAAAAAAACTCCCAGTCTTACAGAAGTCTTATGACGTGTCCTCTGTCTCATTAGAATAGAGATAACCAGGTGGACTCTGGCACTTGGCTGTGGAACTAACATTGCTGCTATCTCAGACTCAGTGAAATGTTTCTGTGTTGCCAAGCTAAGGAGCTGGGCTGTGAGTGGTGAAGTCACTTCAGTGGCTGTGCTCCTGATGGAAGGAAGGCATGCTGCATCCCACAGCCTGTCACGGGGTTAAGAGGCTTCTGTGGGAGCTTGGTGAGGGGAATCTTACTCCAGCTGTGGCCCAGGGTGTTAGGGAAAAAGAGTAAGTGCTGCAGTTGGCCAGACCTCTTCCTCACCTTCCTTCCCTTACCAACCTTGGAGCGTTTCTGCAACTCCTGCAGCTGCTGGTTTCCTGGCATTTTTCAGGGGAGAGAAGGGGGGAAAAACCTGTTTTGGTCTCCTGCTGCCATTTTCTCCGTAGGGAACAGCGATCTGTGTGGAGCTCTGTCGTAGCCAGGGCAGTGGGATGGGCTGAGCTGTCCCCTGTGGCAGCAGCAGGGCCGGGCTGAGCCGATGTGTTCGAGGCTATGAGCGGTGTGGTGTTGGGTTGCAGCACCGCGCAGAGCTGCTGCTTAATGACCTCAGTTTCCTGTGCTCACAGAGCTGCGATTCAAAGGGGGCAGTGCTGCTTTAGGGTGACTTAAACCTTTTAGGCAACAACCTTAATTCTAAGGGCAGGGGGACAGAAAGCAGGCAATTTTTAAACAGCTTTTGCAACTTGTGGGTTTAGTCTCAGAAACAAAACTGAAAGTGGTCGTCCTTTCCTTCCTTCACTGTCTGTGTGTGGCCTCCACTGTTTGATACCTCCTTTTGTTTGTTTTGTTTTGTTTTTCTCGTATGGGTGCACTGTGGAGTCAGAGGAGAAGCTGCAGCTACTAAGGTCAGACACTGCATAAGTCAAGTGTGACCGGAAACAAAGGCACGTGAAACTTCAAAAAGAAAACCAGGGAAATCTCAGGTAGAAGATATGTGAATCAGTAAGTGTTAGTTTCTCTTTAATGAGTGGAATTTAATTTTCAGAATATTCAAAGAGTATACTGATCATCTCAGAGACTTAATGTATAGTCTGTGTTGATGGGTAGAAAAATCATAAGGGTGACAAATAGTCAGAAACACGTGGAAGAGCTCCATCTCCATTACTCACGTGATGTTTTGTGGTGCCCAGTGCTTGCTATCCTAGGGATAAAAACCTGTAACTAACAGAAGAGGAGTCAGGTTTCTGGACCAATCCAGCATCATCCAACTGTCATGGTCGCAGCTGAAGCTGTTTTGGCTGGTGCTGGTGGCAAAAGTGCTATAATGACACAGAAAGTATCACCTTACTCATTCTTCTTTTTGACTGTATAAGATAATGGTTTCCTGTTGCTTCCACAAGCTGTAGGGATTGATAATTCAGACATGCAGTATTGTTGTCCATGTCCAGTCTCTGTATAATAAGTTTTTAGAACAACCTGTTCCTGTATTTTATAATTGATGCTGGGTTGAATGTTTTGATAAATTGGTCTGTGAGAAATTTAGTTTTACTTATTAGACAGAACTTCTATCCAGCCTTTCTGGCATTTTGTTCCTAGCATAATCACTCCCAGTCTTTTCAATCATGAATTCGAGAGCTTCAGCTGTCATTTTGCAAGGATCTCTACCTAGAGGCATGTCTATCTATTTAAAATTGACCAGTACAATTCAGATCAATGTCAGTGTAAAGAGGGTCTAGTGGAACTGTAATTGGAAAGCTCTGAAGATGTTTTGGAAAACAGTTGTTGGAAGGAAAGGCAAAGAGGGGTTGTTTACAAATTATAAATAGTTTTCTTGGTTGAAAAAGTAGGTCTTCTAGGATGCATCAAAGGTTGGTTTCTCTTCCCTGCATTTTGTGTGCTTGCTGTGATAACTGGGAAGGCAACACTATTGATCTTGCAGCACTTACCACTCTGCAATCGATCCTTGGGATTATTGGAGCTGATTGATACAAGCCTGAACTCACAGTTGTGTGTTAACTGCTTAGGTAGGTAATCCTCTCTGGTATGCAAGTGCATTGCTTAATGCTTTGACCCTCTGACTTGGTTTGAATAAGCTCATGTTCTGTGTCCCTAATGACCTTTTCCAGTCAGTGTAGTCCTGGGTGGAGGTCTCCATCAGAAACTGAGCTGAGGAGGGCCTTTCCCTCTCTTAAATCATTAGATTTATTCCAAATCCTTTCTTGTGCGGGGAAGGCATTTCCTAAAATGCTAAGAAATAGTTTTTCCTGTGGTTGGGAAACTTTTAAAGGACAGCTTGTATGTCCAGAATTGGTTGTGCATTCATTTGTTTTTGTTTTGTTTTTGTTTTTTTTAAATTTTTTATTTTTGAAAGCTACAAGATCTTTCCAGAATCCTTTAAGCTTGTAGTGTACATGAAACACAGAATTATGTCAAAAGGGGAGTGCAATGTCATTGCTCTGATTTAGGCTTAAATGTTTATTTCTAGAAGGGAAGCAGATTGGTTCAAAATGCCACATTGCATTAGTAGTATTGCAGTTTCTAACTAGCCGAGCTCGTATTTTCACAGCTTCTTTTTGTGTCCCAAACTCTTACACAAGAGTAACACTTTAAATTGGAAGAATTATGAATCCTATCCAAGGAGTAGTCAGTTCTTCATTTGGAAGATGGTCTAAATATGAATACACTTAATCTACTTAGCTATTGGTTGCTGGTATAATGGAAAGTAGTAGTAAAGGGTTGTGAGCTCCTGTCTGGTCTGTGTTGCTGGAGTTCTTGGTAACTATGTACTGGATTATGTGAGAGATTTTATTTAAGCCCCTTCCTAATGTATATGTTTGTGCTTTGACATCTCTAGGGTAGCAGCAGAGGAAGCCCTGACTGAAATGCCTGTTGAGATTTAAGCCCTGGTTTTGGGAGGGTGGATTTCTGACAGTGCCTGTTACAAGTT